CAGGATAAATTTTGGTGGAGAACTCAGTTGTTTTTTAGATTTTAAATGTAATCCAGCAGTTACATTTCCAAAAAAAAACTGTCCTACTAAGATCTTCCATGCACACAAAGATTTGGATAGGAAGATGTTCACTTCAGCACTGTTTGTACTAGGAAATGTTGGAGAGAATCCAAATATTATTCAACTAGAAGTTAGACAAGTAACTTAAGGTACATTTATGTAACTGTATATCTGGCAGTTCTGGAAATGAAATGAGGTCACTCAGCACATATGACATGGAAAGATGTCCCAGATCTTTCATTAAGAAGAAAAAAGTCAGATGCACAACAGAATGTGTGGTGTGGTCCAATTGCTCTTTCTTTTTCTTTTCTTTCTTTCTTTCTTTTTGAAACGGAGTCTCATTCTGTTACCCAGGCTGGAGTGCAGTGGCATGATCTCGGCTCACTGCAACCTCCACCTCCTGGGTTCAAGCGATTCTCCTGCCTCAGCCTCCCAAGTAGCTGGGATTACAAGTACCCGCCACTACACCCAGCTGATTTTTGTATTTTTAGTAGAGACAGGGTTTTACCACATTGGCCAGCCTGGTATCAAACTCCTGACCTTGTGATCCACCCACCTTGACCTTCCAAAGTGCTAGGATTGCAGGTATGAGCGACCGAGCCTGGCCCCATTTGCTCTTAAATATGTGTTTGTGTTCACAGAGGCATAGGAAAAAAATTTGCGGAATGTCTCTATCAACAACGGTCAGCTGTGGTTTTCAGAGGAAGTGGATTAGGGAGACTTCTGCTTTCTTATTCAGAGTTCTGTAGTGCTTATAGTTTCTATGTGATACAGATCATACTTTGGAATCAGAAAAAGTATTAAGATCACTAAATAAAGCACAAAGTCTCATTGACCCACTCTCCTGAAAGGAGGTAAATTTTATTTTACCGTGTGATACCAATCAATTAAAAAAATGCATGCAGGCTGGGCACAGTGGCTCACTCCTGTAATCCTAGCACTTTAGGAGGCCGAGGTGGGCAGATCACCTGAGGTCAAGAGTTCAAGACTAGCTTGGACAACATGGTGAAACCCCGTCTCTACTAAAAATATAAAAATTAGCCAGATGTAGTGGCTCACCCATGTAATCTCAGCTACTCAGGAGGCTGAGGCAGGAGAATCACTTGAATCGGGAGGCTGCAGTAAGCTGAGATCACGCCACTGCACTCCAGCCTCGGTGACAGAGGGAGATTCTATCTCAAAAAAAAAACCAAAAGCATATGGAGATCTGGAAAAGAATTAGTCCAAAGCATTGTCTATTGCTCCAGTGGACAACATTTGGTGGATTTGACTTTTGTCTTCTGTATTTTCCAATTTTTAAATTAAGCCTAAACCAGCTACCAAAATAGTAGAAATGAATTATAGGCTTTATTTTTTGAACTTTGCAGAGGTAAAAAAGCCCCAGCAGGTTAGGTGCTGCAGCTCACATCTGTAATCTTAGTGCCTTGAGAGGCTAAGACAGGAGGATCACTTGAGGCCAGGAGTTCAAGACCAACCTGGCCACAAACATAGTGCAACCCTCATCTCTGAAAAGTAAAAAATAAAAAAGTAGCTGGGCATGGTGGCACATAACTGTAGTCCCAGCTACTTGGGAGGCTGAGTCAGGAGGATCAATTGAGCCCAGGAGTTTTAAGGCTGCAGAGAGCTATGATCACACCACTGTCACGTAGCCTGGACAACAAAGAGAACTTGATCCTATTTAAAAAGCAAAAAAAAAAAAAGCCCAAAAAACAAAGGCCTAGAAAGAGTGAGAGGCCTGGGTTGTGTGTGTGTATTAGAAGGCCCAGCTCCGCAGCCTGAGTTGCTTCTATTTTAAGCAGGACCCAGTGAGGGGCTCATGCCGGGGACGAGGTGCAGCCCTTTTTGGGCTGAGTTCATGGGAAGCTGGACTCTTTTTTTTTTTTTTTTTTTTTTGAGACAGTCTCTTTCTCTCACCCAGGCTGGAGTACAGTGGCCCGATCTCAGCTCACTGCAACCTCCACCTTCCAGGTTCAAGTGATTCTCCCGCCTCAGCCTCCCAAGTAGCTGGAATTACAGGCATGCATCCAACTGGCTGGCTGGCTGGCTTGCTTTCTTTTCTTTCTTTCTTGTAGAGATGGGGTTTCATTATGTTTGCCAGGCTGGTCTTGAACTCCTAACCTCAGGTGATCCACCCACCTCAGCTTCCCAAAGTGCTAGGATTATAGGTGTGAGCCACCACACCTGGCCGCTCTCAATAGATATTGATTAATTTGGGAAGTCTTCTGAATCTCAGCAATGTGTGTCTGTTAGGAAAAAAAAAAAAAAAAAAAAAAAAAGGGAGATCTTTTGGGTCATCACAATGACGTGGGGGCACTGTTGGCACAGAGTTAGGGAAGGCCGGGATGCTAGCAACCCTGAAACAGGGCTGTTCTGCACGATGAATTTTCCTGCATGGGGTCTCCCTCTGTCACCAAGGCTGAAGTGCAATGGCATGATGTCGTCTCACTGCAACCTCCACCTCCTAGAGGTGGTTCTTTTCCCTCAGCCTCCCAAGTAGCTGGGATTACAAGCATATGCCACCACGTCGAGGTAATTTTTGTATTTTTAGTAAAATTGGGGGTTCACCATGTTGGCCAGGCTGGTCTCGAACTCCTGACTTCAGGTGATCAGCCCGCCTCGACCTCCCAAAGTGCTGGGATTACAGGTGTGAGCCACTGAGCCTAGCCAAAGTGCAGCCATTTATTCATTTATTTATTTATTTGAGATGAAGTCTCATTTTGTTGCTCAGGCTGGAGTGCAGTGGTGTAATCTTGGCTCACTGCAACCTTTGCCTCCCAGGTTCAAGCAATTCTCCTGCCTCAGCCTCCTGAGTAGCTGGGATTACAGGCATGCACTACCATGCCTGGCTAACTTTTTTATTTTTTAATAGAAATGGGATTTCACCAGGTTGGTCAGGCTGGTCTTGAACTCCTGACCTTTTGATCCACCTGCCTTGGCCACCCAAAGTACTGGGATGACAGGCTTGAGTCACCGCCCGGCCCAAGTGCAGCTTTTTAAATTGATATAATTAAAATGTGTTTTAACCCCTCTGCACAGATGAACTCCTGGACTGAATTCGGTTTTGCCTGATCACAGTGGTGCTTTTCGTACATATATGCTTGCACACTCCTCTCCTCTCCTGGGCACAAGTGATCCTCCTGCCTCAGCCTCCCAGAGTGCTGAGATTACATGTGTGAGCCACTGTACTTGGCCCAAGTTCGCATTTCTATGTGATTGGTTCCTCTCCTCTCCCCTCCCCTCTCTCTGTCTGCATGTCTGCGTGTCTGTGTCTGTGTCTGTCTGTCTGTGTCTGTCTCTGTCTCTCTCTCTCTCTCTGTCTCTGTCTCTTTCCTTTTTTGAGACAGGGTCTCATTCTGTCATCCAGGCTGGAGTGCAGTGGAATACATTTTTTAAAAATTTTCTGTCCAGATGATATTTCACTATGTTGCCCAGCTGGTCTCAGATTTCTGGGCACAAGTGATCCCCCTGCCTCGGCCTCTCAAAGTGTTGAGATTACACGTGTGAGCCACTGAACCTGGCCCATGTTCGCATTTCTATGTGATTGGTTGCTAGAAGTAGAACCAGATCTATATCTACTGGGTCAGAATTAAAGAATGCATTTTTTTTTCAGTTTTCAGCATTGCCATACTGCCTTTCAGAAAAGTTTTTTTGTTTTGTTTTGTTTTGTTTTGTTTTTAAGATGGAGTCTCACTCTTGACCCCCAGGCTAGAGTGCTATGGTGCCATCTCTGCTCACTGCAACCTCTGCCTCCTGGATTCAAGCGATTCTCCTGCCTCAGCCTCCTGAGTAGCTGGAATTATAGTTGTCTGCCACCATACTTGGCTAATTTTTGTATTTTTTTAGTAGAGATGGGGTTTCACCATGCTGGCCAGGATGATCTCTAACTTCTGACCTCAGGTGATCTACCTGCCTCAGCCTCCCAAAATGGTGGGATTACAGGTGTGAGCCACCACACCCCGCCTAGAAAAGTTTTATACCCCCGGATGGTGTGTGAGGGTACCCTTTCCCTGATATCCAAGCCAGCACTTGCTAAAATGTTTCATCTCATTTAAACAATTGCCAACCTGCTGTAATGCCAGCACTTTGGGAGGCCAAGATGGATGGATTACTTGAGGTCAGAAGTTCGACACCAGCCTGGCCAACACGGCAAAACCCCATCTCTACCAAAAAGTACAAAAATTAGCCGGGTATGGTGGTATGTGCCTGTAGTTCCAGCTACTCAGAAGGCTGAAGTGGGAGAATCACTTGAATCTGGGAGGCAGAGGTTGCAGTGAGCCAAAATAGCACCACTGCACTCCAGCCTGGGTGACAGAGAGAGACCCTGTCCCAAAAAAAAAAAAAAAGGCTGGGCGTGGTGGCTTGTGCCTGTAATTTCAGCACTTTGGGAGGCAAGGCAGGTGGGTCACTTGAGGTCAGGAGTTCAAGACCAGCCAACATGGTGAAACCCTTTCTCTACCAAAAAAAAAAAAAAAAAGATGCAAAAAGTAGTCAGGAATCTCAGCTACTTGGGAGGCTGAGGCATGAGAATCACTTGAACCCGTGAGGTGGAGGTTGCAGTGAGTTAAGATCACACCACTGCTCTCCAGCCTGGGTGACAGAATGAGACTGTGTGTGTGTGTGTGTGTGTGTGTGTGTGTGTGTGTAAAATGGTGAAATGTTTGCCAGCCTGAATGGGAGAATGGTATCTTATTTTCAACTCTTTGATTCCAAGTGTTGTATAGTTAAGATATGCCATTTCTGCCCACAGGGAGGCTGTGCCCATGAGCCCAGATAGGCTCGCTTGGGGACTGGGTTCTTGATAGGCTATTAGACAGGAGTCTCTCTCTGTCCTGATACTGTCTGCCTCTCCAGAGGAAATAACAGGGTGGGAGGAGGCTGCACTGTCCCCAGAGCCCCTGACCTGGGCCAGATGTTCCTACCTTCCCCTTTGCCTTCCGCAGGAAGCCTGGAAGCATGCGATCGAGAAGGCCAAGCACATGCCGGACCCCTGGGCTGAGTTCCACCTCGAAGACATTGCCACCGAACGTGCTACGCGACACAGGTCAGCAGCTTATCTGGGGTCTCAAGGAGTCCCAGGGGCTGTACTTCCAGCGTCTGCTCCCAATCAGTGAGGCCTAAGTACTCTTGGGGGTCAGGAGAAGGGAGTAACCATATGAGCCGCTAATGTTGGAGGGCTAATGTATGCTTAAGCCTCAGTGCATGACCTCACTGAATCCTTCCTGTGGTTCAAACAAGGTACCTATTAGACAGGCTAGACTGAGCTAGTTTTTCTAAACTGTTGCAAATTTCTGGCCAGATGTGGTGGCTCTTACCGTAATCCCAGCACTTTGGGAGGCTGAGGTGGGCAGATCACTTGAGGTCAGGAGTTCAAGACCAGCCTGGCCAACATGGCGAAACCCCATCTCTACTAAAAGTACAAAAATTAGCCAGGCATGGTGGTGGGTGCCTGTAATCCCAGCTACTCAGGAGGCTGAGGTAGGAGAATCACTTGAACCCGGGAAGCAGAGGTTTCAGTGAGCTGATACAGCGCTACTGCACTCCAGCCTGGGCATCAGAGTGAGTCTCCATCTCAAAAATAAAATTGTGGCAAATCTCTAACACGTTTTCCAATATATTGATTGAAGACAGTCCACTTATAAGCAGACCCACGCACTTCAAACCCATGTCATTCAAGCATCAACTGTACTTGCTGGTGCCAAGTGTGCAGCTCTGAAGAGCTTTCCTCCCTCTGAGCCCAGAGGAGGTTAACCCGTCAAGCCTCTGCTTGTTTTTCCTGGTAGAGGCATCAGGCTCTGTTCTCACGAGGGCGGGGGTGTTCTGGAGTCTGCCCCAGCTGAGGGGTGAACCCAGGGAGGCCTCCAACTAGAGCTAAGAACACCTCAGCCCTCAGGGAGGTTTCAGACTTTAGGGATCCATTGAGCCGAGGCGCTTTCCACCAGGCGGACTTGTGTGTGTCCTGGCCAGGACCAGGGGCTGATTTGCTCTGTGAAAGGAGAGATGGAAATGTTCCCAGAACCCTCTCCAAGCTCTCTCTGCCTGAGGTATGAACCAATCTGTGGAAAAAACAAACTTAATTTCACCTGATGTAATCCTATGACCCAGAATGCTTCTATGAGCTTAAAATGTGTGGGGATTTCTCCCCACCCACAAGCAAGTAGTCAAATCTGCAGTAGACCCCAGCAGATGTGCCTCTAATTCAGTTTCTCTAATTGAAGGCATTGATGGAATTTTGAGTTGGGTATCCTGATTTAATTCAATTCTTTTTTTTTTTTTTGAGATGAGTTTCGCTCTTGTCACCCAGGCTGGAGTGCAATGGGGCTTTCTCGGCTCACTGCAACCTCCATCTCCCAGGTTCAAGTGATTCTCCTGCCTCAGCCTCCCAAGTAGCTGGGATTACAGGCATGTACCACTACGCCAGGCTAATTTTGTGGGTTTTTTTTTAGTAGAGATGGGGTTTCTCCATGTTGGTCAGGCTGGTCTGGAACTCCTGACCTCAGGTGATCAGCCTGCCTCAGCCTCCCAAAATGCTGAGATTACAGGCGTGAGCCACCATGCCCAGCCTGATTCAATTCAATTCTGACACCCATCTACAGGGAGATAGCATCACATCCCACAGGTTGAGGGCTCAATCCTACAAGACCGTTCCCAACTTCCACTGCTGATCGCAAGCCCTAGGTGGTTTCACCTCTCCTGACCAGCTGTAAATCAGGGTTCCCATGACCCCCTCCAGGCTCGATTAACTTGCTGGAGCGGCTCACAGAACTCAGGGAAACACTTAGTACCATTTACTGGTTAATGTAAAGGATGTTCCAAAGGGTACGGAAGACTAGGGGTGGTGGCTCACATCTGTAATCCCAGCACTTTGGGAGGCCAAGGCAGTCGGATCACTGAGATCAGGAGTTTGAGACCAGCCTGGCCAAAATGCCAAAACCCCGCCTCTACTAAAAATACAAAATTAGCCGGGTATGGTGGCCCATGCCTGTAATCCCAGCTACTTGGGAGGCTGAGGCAGGAGAATTGCCTGAACCCAGGAGGCGGAGGTTGCAGTGAGCCGAGATCATGCCATTGCACTCTAGTCTGGGCAACAAGAATGAAACTCCGTCTCAAAAAAAGGATGTCATTTATTCAGTCATTCATCCACCATGTGTATTTATTAAGCATCCACACGCACCAGGTCCTGGGTAACTAAGACATGGGTCTGCTTTTGTGGGGATACAGTCCAGTAGGGGCCCCAGATGTGGAACATGCCAGTGAACAGCACAGCAATGAGTGCTGGGGATATAAAAATGGGGGACATGGTAGTGAGGGAACAGTGGGTTTGAGGAAAGGGACAGAGACCAGTATGTTGAGACTTGGGAGAGAGGGACAGTGTCTACAACCCATCCTAGAAGGTTGGCTGGGCTATGGGCCATGGTGGAGGGTGGGCTGGTTCTAAAGCGAGTGAGGAGCCCAGAAAGGTCTTTGGCTTTTAGCCCATAAGGAACAGGACCATGTGACGGACGCTGTGCCCTGGGGTGGGCGGGTCTCTGCAGGTACAACGCGGTCACCGGGGAATGGGTGAACGATGAAGTTCTGATCAAGATGGCATCTCAGGTGAGCAGGGCCTTGAGCCCCGTGGGGACAGGGCTGAGCAGGGACTTTCTGTAGCTGACTTTGGTCTGTGTGCCCCTCCCTCCCACTTCCACTTTATTTAATTTTTGTAACTTTGGGGGATTCTTTGTTGCTGTTGATTTATTGGTTGCAACCAGCATTTTATTTTTTAAGACAGGGTCTCACTCTATCGCCTAGGCTGGAGTGCAGTGATGCAATCACAGCAGCCTTGAACCCCTGGGCTCAAGCCATCCTCCCACCTTAGCCTCCCAAGTAGCTGCGACTACAAGTACATACCACCACGCCTGGCTATTTTTTTTATTTCTTGTAGAGACATGGGTTTCACTGTGTTGCCCAGGCTGGTCTCAAATGCTTGGGCTCAAATGATCCTCCTGCCTCCCCCTCCCAAAGTGCTGGGATTATAGGCATGAGCCACTGTACCCAGCCACAACCAGCCTTTTGAAGAAAAAAAAAGATAAAAGACTAAAAAATAGGTATTTCCTGCATATTGAGAGTAAGGATTGCTTTGTGAAACTTTGTTTTAGTGTAATGTACAATATACACACAAAAGGGTACAGCTTGGTGAGTTTTCACAAAATGAGCACACTGCCTTACCAGTGCCCATATCAGCAAACAACGCAGCCAGCCTGCTCAAGCCCCTCTCAGTCACTCCTCCCACACCCCCAGGGTAAGCACCACTCTGAATTCTATCACCCTAAATTACTTCGGCCAATTTCTTTTTTTTTTTTTTTTTGAGGTGGAGTTTCACTCTTGTTACCCAGGCTGGAGTGCAATGGCGCGATCTCGGCTCACCACAACCTCCGCCTCCTGGGGTCAGGCAATTCTCACCCTCAGCCCTGATTACTGGGATTACAGGCACACGCCCCCATGCCCAGCTAATTTTTTTGTATTTTTAGTAGAGACGGGGTTTTCACCATGTGACTAGGATGGTCTCGATCTCTTGACCTCGTGAATCCACCCGCCTCGGCCTCCAAAAGTGCTGGGATTACCGCTGGAGCCACCGTGCCCAGAGCTTCTGTCCTATTCTTAACTTCATATAATGGAGGAATACAACAGGTATTCTATTTTTTTTTTTTTTTTTTTTGAGACATAGTCTCACTCTGTCACCCAGCTGGAGTGCAGTGGCGCGATCTCAGCACTGCAAGCTCCAGGTTCAGGCGATTCCCTGTCTCAGCCGCCTGAGTAGCTGGGAATACAGCAGGCACGAGCATGAGACCCAGCTAATTCTTTGTATTTTAGTAGTAGAGACAGGGTTTCACCGTGTTAGCCAGATGGTCTCGAACTCCGACCTCATGATCCACCCGCCTTGGCTTCCAAGTGCTGGAATACAGGCGTGAGCCACTGTGCCGGCCAACAGTATTCTTTTTTAGAAAGAGTCTTGCTCGCTGCCCAGGCTGGGTGTAATCATGCATTATCTTGGCTCACTGCAGCCTTGAACTCCTTGGCTTACGCAGTTCTCCCACCTCAGCCTCCTGAGTAGCTGGGACTACAGGCATGCACCATCACACCAGCCAGTTTTAAAATTTTTTTGTAAGCGGAAGGTCTCGCATTTTTCCAGGCTGGTCTTGAACTCCTGGCCTCAGTGATCCTCTCGCCTCGGCCTCCCAAAGTGCGGGGATTACAGGCATAGCCACTGCTCCTGGGTTCTTTTGGTCAACATTTTGCATCGGTTTTCATTGCTGTGTGGTATTTCATTGAAGGAATAGACCTGATTGATTTTTCCAGCATATTGTTGCTGGACACGTACGTTGTCTCCACTGTTTTTTCTCTTAGAGTCAGGGCTGTGAAAACATCCTCTGAGATGCACTGTCCCTCCCCCAGCATCCTGCCCTCATGGGGTTTTTTCCTCAGCTGGGGTGGAGAAATGGAGGGGGTGTCTTTGTCATTCTGGCCGCCTCTAGGTTGGAAGGTCTCAATGGGTTTGGTGCTGAGACATAGAAGAGAGCTCTGGGGATTTTGGGATTCAGATGAGGCCAGGCACTCATTTGATGGGGGATGTGCAAGGGAGCGCCTCCTGACCTTAGGGTCTTATTGGGTGGGGCATGGGGACTGATACTGATAACTCTCTGCGGTGTCTTTCAGCCCTTCGGCCGAGGAGCGATGAGGGAGTGCTTCCGGACGTAAGTGACTCGGCCTGGCTCTTGGGGTTCTCCCCAGAGTCTCCTCAGGCTCCTAAGAGCCGAGGCATTGGGACATTTTTCAGCCAAGGAATGGAGCCAGGGGCCTCTGCGTTCTTGTAGCCCAGGTTCCTCTCCATCTGTCTCCCTCGGGTCACACGTTGGGCCTGGTGGGAAGATGGGCTCAGGAAGAACAGGGAACACCCACTTATCTCTGCCCTAGTGTTTGGGGGTCAAGGGAAATGAGATAGGCGACTTTAACAGTGACCTTTAACTCACCCTATCCCAGCTCTTAGAAGGATGTGGAGGGGTGGGGAAGTCCTTCCTACCTCCTGCATTTTCTTCCTGCCGCCAAGCCAGCCAACCAGGTCAGACAGGGTCTCGCTGTCCTGAGGACCAGGGCTGTGTCCCTGGTGAATCCCAGAGTGCCCAGGTAGGCCCCCTGCTGCCTCTCCCCACAGGAAGAAGCTCTCCAACTTCCTGCACGCCCAGCAGTGGAAGGGAGCTTCCAACTACGTGGCAAAACGCTACATCGAGCCTGTGGACCGGGATGTGTACTTTGAGGACGTGCGTCTACAGATGGAGGCCAAGCTCTGGGGGAGGAGTATAATCGGCACAAGCCCCCCAAGCAGGTGCGTGGCCCTGCTACCTGCCCCCTTTCCATGTCAGGGCAGCTGGGCACAGTGTCTGGGAAAGAGGGCCATGTTTCACCCTCCTTTTTTTTTTTTTTTTTTTTGAGATAAAGTTTCACTCTGTCTCCCACCAAGGCTGGAGTGCAGTGGTGCGACTACAGCCTCCACCTCCCGGGTTCAAATGATTCTCCTGCCTTAGCCACCCAAGTAGCTGGGATTATAGGTACCTGCCACCATGCCTGGCTAATTTTTGTATTTTTAGTAGAGACAGTTTCACCATGTTGGCCAGGCTGGTCTCGAACTCCTGACCTCAAGTGATCTGCCTGACTCGGCCTCCCAAAGGGCTGGGATTACAGATGTGAGCCACCATGCCCGGTCTCTTTCACCTTCTTAATAGTAGCTAATAACAACCACCATTTACTGAGCGTGATGAAACACATCGTTTATTTATTTATTTTTAATTTTTTTGAGACAGGATCTTTCTTGGTTGCCCAGGCCAGAGTGCAGTGGCATGATTCCAGCTCACTGCAGCCTCAACCTTCCGGGCCCAAACAATCCTTCCAGCCCAGCCTCCTGAGTGGCTGGGACTACAGGGGCACACCACCATGCCCAGCTGATTTTTATATTTTCTGTAGAGACATGGTTTCGCCATGTTGCCCAGGCTGGCCTCCAACTCTGGCCTCAAGCAGGAGCCCACCTTGGTCTCCCAAACGGCTGGGATTACAGGCATGAGCCACTGCACCTGTCTCAGGTCATTTATTCCTAAAAACAGAGCTCCGAGGTTGGAATGTTTTCATCCTCAGTTACGGATGGGATCTATTAGTCAGGATTTTTGTTTGCAAACAACAGAAACCCACTCAAACTGCTTAATCCAAAAAGGGAATTCGTTGTCTTATATATCTGACATAATGCTGGCCACACAGGCATGGCTGGATTCAGGATTAAACTGAGGTTGTCAGAATCTTCTCCATCTCTGGCCTGGGTGTCCTTCTGGGTTGGCATCATTCTCAGGCAGACTCTGCATTTGTGGTAGCACTTTGGCCCCCAGCAGGCCCAAGGTCTTTTTGGAATGACAGCTATTTCCCCAGAAGTTCTAATAAGTCTCAGAGCTGGGTTTCATTGGCTCTGATTAGTTTAGATGCCTAATGCTGAGCCAATCACAGTGGCCAAGCGGGTGGGAATATGCAGAGTGGGCACACCCAAGCCAATGCTGCCCTTAGAGGCTAGGAATGTAGGTGTTTCATCCAGATCACAGAGACCAAGACTGGAAAAGGAGAGACTCCCAAGAAAAAGCAGAAGAAAAGAGCTGGAATGTGTATTAGTCCGTTTTCCTCATTGCTGATAGAGACATACTCTTCATGTAATTCAGGTCTCAGCTCCTGTGTCACCTCATCAGCCACCCTGTCTCAGAGGCCCCGAAAGAAGCGGTGCCTCCACCCGTCACCTCTGCCACGTCATTATGGTTTTTGTTTTCTGTTCTTCGGAGCACTTAGTGTGTCATTCATTTAGTTAATATTTTGGGTGCTTCTCTCCCCTAAAGGCAAAGATTTTCTTTTTTCTTGTTCACTGCTGTCTCCTAGCACCTAGGTGTTCAGTAAAGAATAATGTGGTAGGCCAGATGCAGTGGCTTATGCCTGTAATCCCAGCACTTTGGGAGGCTGAGGGGCAGATCACCTGAGGTCAGGAGTTCAAGACCAGCCTGGCCAACATGATGAAACCCCATCTCTACTAAAAGTACAAAATTAGCCGGGTGTGGTGGTGCGCACCTGTAATTTCAGCTACTCAGGAGGCTGGGGCAGGACAATCACTTGAACCAGGGAGGCAGAGGCTGCAGTGAGCCAAGACTGTGCCACTGCATTCCAGCCTGGGTGACAGGGCAAGACTCCATCCCAAAATAGTAATAGTAATAATAATAATAATAATAATACTGGGGTTGATAAGGGAAGGAGAGGGGTGTGGTTGTTTGAGGAGGTGCTGGCTGTCTGCTGTGGCTGTGCCACTGCCCCTCGCCCAGGGAGCCCTCTGGCTGAACAGGTGGCCATGCTGTAGGTTTTCTTGTAGGGATAGAACCAGCCTTTGGGACAGAACCCTCTGAGAACCGCCCCTTCCTGCCTTCCCCTCAGGCTGGTTCTCAGAACCAACTGAGGCCTCATTTGGGGCAAGTTCTCTGCTCTCAGATCTGGACCCCTTCGGCTTCTGCAGTTGCTGTCTGCCTGTCTGGTGACCCACTCTCCCTGGATAGTCATTTCCTTGGGAAACCTGGGACCTGATCCTCCCAAGAGGTGGCATTGAGGGGACATGGGGGCCAAGGGTGAGTCCTTGTGTAACAGGACAAGAGATACAAGCTAGAGTCCTTCATCTCTCCTACTCTACTCTATAAGCCATATGCACTATTTGTAGATTTTCTTCTGTGTACAAAATTAAATATAGACTTTGTTAAAAAAAAAAATTCAACAAGGAATGTCAACGTTCCCTATAATTTCCCATTGCAGGGAGAGAACTGCTGTTTAGAGGTTGCCTTATATTTCTCTAGAATTGTGGCTTCTGATAAAAATAAAATGAGTGGCCAGGCACAGTGGCTTATGTCTGTAATCCTAGCACTTTGGGAGGCCAGGCGGCCAGATCACTTGAGGTCAGGAGTTCGAGACCAGCCTGGCCAGCATGGTGAAACTGTGTCTACTAAAAATATAAAAATTAGCTGGGCATGGTGACGGGTGCCTGTAGTCTCCCAGGTACTCGAGAGGCCGTGGCAGAGGTGAACCCAGGAGGCGGAGGTTGCAGTGAGCCAAGATTGCACCACTGCACTCCAGCCTGGGCCATAACAGAGTGAGACTCTGTCTCAAAAAAATAAAATATAAAATAAAATAAAGCAAAAGCAAACATTGTTTGGCTCCTTTTTGCATCAACAAATTTAATTCACAGGCTGAGTCTGAGACTCTTTCTGCAGGTGAGGAAACTGAGGCATAGAGAGGTAAAATTCATAAATGTTCCCAAATTCATGGTATTACTGTAAGGCATAGTCTAAGTTGTTTAGCAAACAGACCCACAAATATGTGCAGACATGAAATAGTTTCTGTCTCACTTGTGTGGAGGTCCTGCATTGGTGGGTGACTTGGGGTAGGCTGGTGCCTCATCTCCTTGAAGCCATCTAGAGACCTGGTTCCTTTGGTCTTGTTTGTCTGCCATCCCCTCAGGGGTTTGCCATGGACCACATGATCAGTTCTGGCTCCCAAGCAGAGTCCACCTTATAGGGCAGGCTGGAGTTTTGTCATTGCAATGCTCAGTTCCCATTGGCCAGGCACGGTCATGTGGCCATACTTAGCTGCAAGGGAATCTTAGCAATGTCATCCCTAGTGGGTGGCTATGGACCCTTTTAAAATTCAGTGATTTGGGGTCTGGGTGCAGTGGCTTTGGCCTATAATCCCAGCACTTTGGGAGGCCAAGGTGGAGAGATCATAAAGTCAGGGGATCGAGATCATCCTGGCCAACATGGTGAAACCTTGTCTCTACTAAAATACAAAAAATTAGCCAGGCAAGGTGGTGCATACCTGTAGTCTCTACTCAGGAGGCTGAGGCAGGGCAATCGCTTGAACCCAGGAGGCAGAGATTGCAGTGAGCCAATATTGCACCACTGCACTCCAGCCTGGCAACAGAGTGAGACTCTATCTCAAAAACAAAAAAAACTCAGCGATCCAGGGTTTCATTCTAAAAGGAAAAGAGAGCTGAGCACAGTGGCTGCATCCTGTGATCCTAATGCTCTGGGAGGATGCTGGAAGTTAAGAGAATTGCTTGAGGCCAATTCAAGACCAGCCTAGGCAACAGAGCGAGACCTCGTCTCGATAAAAATATTTAGATATGAGCCATATGTAGTGTGTAGTGACGTACACCTGTAGTTCTAGCTCCTCGGGAGGCTGAGGTGGGAGGATCGCTTGAGCCCAGAAGTTTGAGGCTATCATGAGCCATAATTATGCACTCCAACCTGGGCAACAGAGTGAGACCCTGTCTCCAAAAAGAATTTTCTTTTTTTGAGATGGCATCTCACTCTATTACCCAGGCTGGAGTACAGTGACATGATCTTGGCTCACTGCAACATCTGCCTCCTGGGTTCAAGTGATTCTCCTGCCTCAGACCCCTTGAGATTACAGGCAGACACTACCACACCCAGCTAATTTTTGTGCTTTTGTTTATTTATTAATTTTTTTTTTTTTTTTGAGATGGAATCACACCCTGTCACCAAGCTGGAGTGCAGTGGTGCGATCTTGACTCACTGCACCTTCCACCTCCCAGGTTCAAGCAATTCTCCTGCCTCAGCCTCCTGAATAGCTGGGACTACAGGCGCACACCACCACACCCAGCTAATTGTTGTGTTTTTACTAGAGATGGGGTTTCACCATGTTGGCCAGGATGGTCTCAATCTCTTGACCTCGTGATCTGCCCACCTTGGCCTCCCAAAGTGCTGGGATTACAGGCATGAGCCACTGCACTGCGTCCAGCAATATGTATTTTTTAATTAAAAAAAAATGAAAGGAAAAGAGGAGATCAGATTCTGGGCATCATCAGGAGCTCCTGCAGTAGAGAGCTAGTAAGTGACGGAGCCAGGGTCTGAGCCCAGGCAGGCCAGCTCCTCTCAGCACTCCTGCTGCCGATTCTCAGAGGAGGTGCACTGGGCCCTCCCACCTGA